CTTGTCCAATAGTTTTGACCGTTTAGTTTGTTGGTGCTTGATAATGTACGACTTCGCGGCGAAGGGCTTTCATTCTTACACTAGTATGATGAAATCGGTCTTGTGCCGATTCCCGAAGAAAGCGAAAGAATGGATATCCTTCCCAAAACTATACAAGGGGAACCAGCTTCTTCCAACAATTTGGTGGTTATCACAAATAATATTTACTGTTTATCACCGCCGTGTTCTAAAACTTAACATCCAACAACGCGATCATGGAATCCAAGCGTCGATGTTTCTTTACCACGAATATGCTGTCTCCTTCCACCTGGTTTACTGGGTTCGGTCACTGAACCTCGGGGTGCTTGTTCGTCTATTTCCTTATCATTTTGTTGACAACTACTCTATGTTGTTGTTGTATCTGCTATATTAACGAAAAAATAGCTCCACACGCATCAGGAGGTCAAAACTGCCAATTTTGACCTCGAAGGCTGACCTTTGGTGAGGCTAATTAGGGTCAGTGACATCAAACCAACTGAGGGTCTTCGATTAGTCACGACCCACGCAGTTTGAAGCAGTCCAATGCACCTGCCTCTGTGAACTGACAGCTGCAATGACAGTGACCGCGATGTAGGTTCTTCTGAGGAAGTCAACACGCCCTGCTAGGCTAAGATTCTCCTAGCCACGAACACAAACTATTTCAGGCTACTGAGCTAAAATGAGTAGGTTGTGCTTGAACAATTTTCTGTCGAACTCTCGTTGGAATAACCATCACTTGCGCATGTGGTCACAGAACAGATATAGCCTTTGATGTGTTAAACTTTCCACCCATCGTGGATCACCTCGTTCGTTTCTGCCGGACCCTCCAGTTGTCTGCCAGCATGCGATACTCATAACTGTCAAAATGAGGTATTTGAGGGTGTAAAGTACAAGGGAAAGACAGTATTCAGACAATGACATCGACTCTAAGTTTCAGAGTGCGGAATGTTGGTTCAGCATAGCAAATATTCGAATACCGTTACCTGCAGCACACTGATAGCACATCCTCAGGCCATAAACAAGTACTGCTAGAGACACCTTTACTATCGGCGCAAACGTGTTTGCTCGGAATGGGTAGTGGCGAAAGAGCAAAAAGTACTTTGAATAATCGTAAAATGAGAAAATAATTTTAGGGAGGTCTACTTTATCCTCAAAATGAGTAGTGTCTACACTATTCCACACACCTAATGGCTTCCTCTCCCGTGGGATCTTCCGGCCGGGGATGACTTTCGCAGGCCAGTGGTCACTCGTCATCTTTATCATGATGGGCAGCATAAATCGGTATCCCACAGTGAAGTGTCACCATCGTACAATAATAGTTTATTTGAAAGCCTTATTGTGAAGAAAACAGTGGATGCGGATGCGAGTGAACTAACTTCTAGCCTAACAAAATCATTCCGATTTGTCCACACCCCAAAGCACTCATTAGAGCGATCTGGATAGAAACTGACAATAAGGATGCCATTGATATTAATTGGCAGCCGTGTCTTACGGCGTCTCCCACCAGGCGCGGTGGGGGTCACGGGAACTTCATTCTGGAAGTTGAGCCGCACACGCAGAACCCAGATTTCTCTTAATTTATTCCAAAACCCTCTGCCAGGCCAAAGTTTGAGCACCTTTTCTTGTCCTACTCTCGATTGGGGTGGCTTACAACAATCTCCTTGGCAAACAGCAAGCTGACAGGCGTGATACATTACCAAACTACCGCGGCTTCTAACACCAGATACATTCTTCAACGGAAGTCCCCGTTGCACAAACAAAACCTCCCTTTCTAAATGCCTCTTTAGAGATTCGCCGACATTAACCCACACTAGCTATGGTCCTGGAACAACGGTCGTGGGAGACGCGAAGATATCTCAGTTGAATTGCTCGAACATACCAAGTCTCACAGTCACACAACAAAAGGGCCCACACGTTGACCTGATAAACACGTCCCTTGAGATTCAGGGATCTACCACTTTGCCATAAAACGGAGGGGTCATTTGTGAAGGGGGATGATTTAGCGCCAGTACCAACTGTCGTTTGGCGTGAAAAGTGATAGGAAATTAGTTGAGTATAATTTCGATGCCTCTCCGGTAAGCCAGTCTTTCCGAATTCTGAATAGTCGTCAGTGTACAACTCTGAGGTCTCTTGACGCTAGTTGCAATCAGTCACAGCTCTGGATAACCGCGTATGGCTTCCTCAAGATCAAATACTGAAGACGTGCTCAGATTCAGCAGGATATTGGCAACTAAACACAGTCATTTGCACCTTCTAGGTCTTATCCCAAGTGTTTTGGAATGCCGTTTGTTTAACTTTTCACTGGCTAAGGTTTGCCGTTCGTTCAACCAACTGGACAGAATAAAAAAGACCAATCACTTTGTACAAACTCGATGAGTCTCACGAGCAACGAACAGTCTTGTGTTGTCCAGCTTTCTCGTATGATACCATCATCATTCTTCAAACACATAAGTTCCGATGTCAGAATCACTACAATTTAGCTGTGGAAAAGACAAACCTCGCGGTCGGGGTTTTCCAAGCGTTTGATTTTGTTCCGAGCCTTGTCGTAATCCAGGCGTGCTTCGGTTAGCTTCTTCAGTTCTTTCTATGCGAGAGAAAGTGGGAAAGAACAAGCACCGATTCTCATTAATGATATTGGAAAGTCTTTCGTAAATAAAACTGAAACGAGGAATAGGTTCACGCACACCGAAAAGCCGTTTACACGCAATGCGAGAGCTAACTCGGGGTTCAGCTGCGTCCATTTTCAAACTAGTTTTGTGTTTAGTGAGCCCAAACTAATTGAATTTCAAGCCAGTTTGAGTACCCACCTCACACTAAAACATCACGCAGGTAAAACACAGGTATAAATCGATGACCAAGTAATTTAGTATACTGATGGTTTATTCAGGGACCATTTCTGTTTGATGAACTCCAAACCGCGTGGGTGACAGTCTGTTTGGCCTACCACGAATCTCCGTCGATTGGTGAGTTCCTTATGTACTGGACCATTCATCCTGGAGGTTTTGAAAACCACGGGTTTTCTTTCTCCACAGAGTAACTGAGTCCACACATATCTCTCTGCTCGATCCCGTTTGTCCTGACTTTAAATTCGGTTTCCGTCGGGTTGTTCCACTCCCCGTAGAGTCCTTGAGGTTCCGTTGTTCCTTTGCAATACAGTCGCATTTAAAGTTCTCTGTCAACTGTTCTGTACAAGCCGTGATTTAAACAACGAGCAGGCAGGTCAATTTAACGTCGCGTACTCATCCAGTTGTGCTACTGACCGCGGTCACAGCCAGTTCCCAAGTTGAGAATCACATCAAAGAAGTACAAATAGCTGGTAACCAAAACCCTGAACAAAACATCATGTTTTTATTTTGTAACTGCCCGCGTCAAATGTGTTTCACGTTTGGTTGCAACTGTGAAAGGTACGGATGGTTGATCCCGGGCTGCTTCAACGTCAGTGTAATGAACGGCTAATAGCCAAGTTCCGGAATCTCGTTAACTCCGGAAGTTGGTACTCCCTTTGGCCGGGAGTTTTTCTCTGTGATATTTAACGCGGTCGGTGCAATCGATGTTTACCGCTCTTGTAGTCAGACATCGGGATTTTGAAGTTTGCTGGTAAGCCGTGTGCGGAAAAATGAGTGTACTGTAAGTTGAATGTAAAATTCGTTTGGACTGGGTGGATTTTACGGTAATAAATTGCTTTTTTGTTTTTTTTAAGGTGATTTTATTTGTGACGAAGTCTTAGTAACAACCATCAAGGTTGAAATGTTAGTTTTTCAATCTGAAAAAGGTCAAACTTCCATCGTCAAACTCAATCTGAGGTACAAGACCTGAATGGTTGGATATAAACTCAAAAAACGTCAAAATCCAGTTGGGTATTACCAAAAGCTCCTATTTTTTGCGATAAAGCTTCAAGTTAAGTGACGGTTTGTCACCCTGTAGATACGAAAACCCGTGCTATAATTACTTTGTGATAAAAATGATTTGGAGCATTCTGTACCTTCGGTAAAAAAATTCATAAAAGAAACTACTCATAAGGTTTCTGAAAACTCTTCGGCAGCCCACGACCGGTTTCCCCCTCATTGGGGCCCAACAGTTAGGCGAAGTCCCCGAGTTTCCATCAACCCAATAGTTCTACTCGAGATGTACACTCATTTGCAAATCTACAACTGAATGTGCTGCACACAGGCCGCCTCGTGATTCAGTTGGCACGATATTCGAGATATCCCAGTGTATTTTCATAAGGAAAACAACTAACAAAGTTGCTGGAAACTCTTCGGCAGCCCACGACCGGTTTCGTCCTGCTTGGGGCTCATCTTTCGGAACGTCATCGTTATTTCAAAAAAAAAACGTGAACATTTAAGTGTGTGGGGGTCGATTTCCAGAAGAATTTACATGGTTTGTCGTACACATGTGGTTCACAAGTCCCAATGACGGTGATAGACGGGAAGTCATTTTGTAGTGCAATTACACTTATAACGGATGGATGTCAGCAAAAATCGCAAATAATTGGCAAGTAATAAGCAACTCTGTGCTGGTTCTTTGTCACATTTGATTTGGCCTGTTTTTAGGGCCAGACAAACCGCTCTCACAGTTTTCCTGGTCTCCAAAAAAACTTAATTTCATTACTACGAAAATATTACTGGTCTCACGCTGAAAATCAATCATTTGTTTGGGAATCCGCATATTAGTTTGAAGATGATCTTGGTAGATAGTCGAAGCAACTTAAATTCTGAGATCCAGTTTTGAGAACGTTCTGAGTCGTGTGCAACTGTTTGGCGCTTTTCAAGTCATTCGGGCGAATATCAGCAACTGAGGAGTCAGTCACACTACTGCTTCGCCGAGGTTCACTACTCATAAGGTTGATGAAAACTCTTCAACAGCTCACGACCGATTCCGCCCTTCTTGGGGCTCATCAGGTAGGCGCAGTCCCCGAGTTCCCGTCAACCTTATGATCTACTTGAACCCAAATTGCACTGTTTTCGAGAAATACACTCAAGAAATACACTCGAGAAATACACTTTGCAAATCAGTTTGGTTTTCACGGGAGACTCCATTGAATCTCTCGTTTATGATGTCCTCCAGCTGAGTGTCCGGCACACAGACCGCCTCATGATTCATTTGGCACGATATTCGAGATATCGCAGTATATTTTCATAAGGCAAACTACTCATAAGATTGATGAAAACTCTTCAACAGCTCACGACCGATTCCGCCCCTCTTGGGGCTCATCAGGTAGGCGCAGTCCCCGAGTTTTACGTCAACCTTACGTTCTGCTTGAACCCAAATCGCACAAAGCTAATGAAATACACTTATTTGCAAACCGACTTGAGTTTGACGGCCATAGGCTGTCAAATAGTTCTCAACAACTTTGTGGGAAGCGAATTACGTCCATACATGTTTCGTGACATCTCAAATATCGTGCCAACTGAAACATGATGCGGCCTGGTGGAGCACATTTAGTTGCTTGAAAACATGATAAACGAGAGATTCATCTCGGTTCCAGGTGACTATGCTGTGCAAACCAAATTAGTATGCAAATGAGTGTATTTCGCTAACAGCCAGGGTGTCGCAAGTTCGAATACCCCCTCTTCCAGCAGGGGTTTCGTAAGATATACGTTGGTGATGATTTCTGATCAGGATAAAACAGCTGTAAAGTGCTTCTCTACGTTTCAGCATAGACTGGCTTCGATTACAGAACAAAATCTGCATTGAATGTAAGAAACTGATAGGCTTTCTTATTTTTTATGTCCTAACTAATACAGCAACAAAATGATACTTTGTGAATCCCTCAGGTAAACGGCACCATTATCACGTTGAGGGTGCGGCAATCGCAACGGTCATTGTATACAATACAATCAGATCAACTATTCGCCTTCCTAAGAAGTAGATAATGGTAGCCTTCAGTGGGCACATTTGGCACTTAGTAGACGCGAAATGAGATTGATAAAACAACGAGGGGAACAGGACACTTCCGTTGTACGAAATCATTTTCCACTGTACTTTTTGCGGTTTCTCGTAGCCAAAGGTGCAAACAGAAAGCTGCCTAAGGTTGAGCTGGTAGAAGAAGCCTGACTTGGAAACCTTGATTCAGTTCAGTAAAAATTTGAAGCTTGAAACCTTTTTAAAATGCGTCCACAATTTTCATAACGGAGTCTAATGTGTTAGGGGGTATACCCATAAGAACAGTGAATAACAGAGGGTAAATGACACTAAAATAGTGAGCTGGACTAGGTTCTCCGCTGAAACAGATTTAGAGAACATTTTGTCTTGGTTAACAGTTTCATTCAGCTGCAAAAAAACTTTCTGTATTACTTTTTAACCTGTCTATCGAGTTAGCATGGAGTGCGATTTGGTCAGTTTTTTCGCGTTACCTGCAAGTCAGCCCATTCATGCTGAAGAAAGTTGAACAAAACCAGGAGAACGTGGTTTTCCATTGCTTCGTTCCGTTGTACTTCGTGGTAGCCAAGTCGACGTTGATACTCACCGCAGATTCTCAACGCTTGACCTGTTTGTAAAGCCGGAAGCAAACGACAGGTTATTTAACTGCCTCAGCTTAGAACATTAAGAGGATTTCCTAGATCTGAACTCAATGTGGTCAGTTAGCTTCTATCCCAATATTTAACCGCTTATCTTTGATGTGAATTTGCTGAAGGATTCTATTGACGGGAGCTTTAGAGATGACTACTGAGGGTCTGCTGTGTCTACAAGCTTCACCAGGAAGGACAAATGTTAGGATAATCAAAGTGCACTGTTGACTCCAGTCTTCAATACGTGGTCTGAAATGCTGGAATAGTAGGTGTCTATCCTGAGTTTGACCGTGTTTGCTACATTAAAGTACGCTTAGAAGCCATGGGATACATGCGTGCTGCGTTTTTAGTGAGGATCTCCAGTGTTGCGCATCTCAAAAATGACAAAGGAAGTAAGAATTTACAAAGTCGGCAAAAAAATCGATTGGTCTGTCTTCCACCTACGGGTGAAAGGCAGAAGCCTTCGCTGTACAGGTAACAGGAAGAAGGCCCTCACTGCGGCGTTATTCATTAGAAAATACCAACTGAACAATTTCGGACTCTCATATGCATCTTGTTTACAAAAATTGAATATCCATCTTCTAATTGAACGCGTCTTCCTGAACTTTCCTGGGTATTCAGTTGCCGTTACTCAAATGCAAGCAAATTCTACAAAGCGAGTCCACCAGTTCCGTAATAGATCACACTTTTCAAGAAACGCGAGGCCGATTCACGAGAAAACACACTACTCGCATGCCTTCCCCATCAGTAGTATTACCGTTACATGGGTATGAAATCCTTCCACTCGTAAGTAAATACCAGCTCTAGATATGATAAACAGAGGGAGCCGCTACATCTTATTTCTATTTAACTAGCAGTAGCTGAATTGTAGATTGACTAATCCCGATGATGTTGCGAGTTGGACCCCCAGTCTCAAACGCGCATACTTAAACACGGAATACGGTGCTGCCTTCTGACTCAGCACAGGTTGACTCATCATTAGGAATGAAATTCCCTCGCCTAACATATCTACAGGTTTGAACAGTCCTGAGAAGATATTTCTGATTCGAGGTGCAGGGAGTGAGTGGTCCATCGATCGTTCGCGTCACTGATTAATATTCACTGTTTTGAACGCTTATCGATCATGTAGGACGCTTATACATGAGGTTTTTTTTCCAGTTAGTTCGCTCGTTCTCGTTTCCATTGTGTACGATTGAGGTGCAAGACTATCTGACTGCACACCAGTGTGTTTTATAGCACACATGAACCACGCTTGATCAAGCACCAAACCTGGGTCTCATCGGACGGTGAACCAAGACCGCAAGAAATATGAGCGTCTTGCAGAAATGGCAAGATATTTTAACGAAACTAGCTGATGAAACAAACAAACTGGCCCAGTTTTACTCGAAGTACCTGCTTCTGTACAAACAGAAGGCTATGAAAAATTTTTTAATCTTAACTCTGTAAAAAAAACAAGATTAGGAGCTGCAAAGTTATCCTAGAAATTTATTCGTTATGACAGTTTCAATCGACGGTAAAGGTTGTGCACATTCCCCAACCTAGAGCTACGCTCCGCGTCACAACTCACTAGTGACGGGTGCGAAGGGTGACTAACTAACTGTCGCCAACATGGGTATCAATAAACAGTGGCTACCTGAATAAGCCTTACACCACCAGGTGTGAGCTGCCTAAAGTTGGAAACAGCTAACAGTCGGTCGATTCCTCTATCTGGTATTAAATTGTAAAAGACATGATAAAACGATCTAGCTTCTGGCGAAATAAACTCGAACGCAATCTAATTTGGTTTTTGCGAGAGGCTCACCTGGAACCCAGCCGAACCTCCCGTTTGTGGAGTATCCAGGCAATTGAGTGTGTACCGCGAAATCTCGAATATCGTAGCAACGGAAACGTGAGGCGCCCAGGTGAGCACATTCAAGTTGCCTGGATTGAGAGGTTCAACTGGGTCCCCGGGGAGTCTCTCGCAAAAACCAATTTACTTTGCAAATGAGTGTATTTCGCTAATTTCGTGCAATTCGGTTTCAAGCAGAACATAAGGTTGACGGAGACTCGAGAACTGTGCCTACCTGATGAGCCCCAAGAAGGGCGAAACCGGTCGTGGGCTGTCGAAGAATTTCCAGCAAACTTATGAGTGGTGCATTACGAGTATCTATCTTCTCAAAACAGAGACTACCATGTTAATACTTTTAAAACAGACTCCTCACTGTTTCGCTTTGTGCAGTGTTACAGATCGCATTCAGCCACGATGGACAGTCTGAGAACAACAATAACATGATGACTTGTTCAAACTTCTCAGATCCTCAAGATGTGAACTCCCAGCTCAATCGTACTTAGACAGATATGGAGCTGTTCATCCCTCACTGACGGGTTTCAAATCACTTCACTGTTCCATACTAAATGACAGGTGAACGTGCCGAAAGCGGTAGCCAAAAGTACAATATCAATGTGATAATACAACGTAATATGCAATCTGCGACATAATATTCGGAAACATAATAAAAGTTATTTGCACGAAGGTGCCTCAGTTTTGTTCCCCAGGCCGAATTCCCTCGTACAAAGGTGGGAGTATGCCTTGGTACACTGTGTTTTTTCTGCTATTAGGCAAAGTGATACTCGTAAGCTTAGGGACCCAAGGGTGAGTATTTTCCGCCTGCATTGCCTTCCAGAGAATGGCAAGGCCGCTAACTGTAGGAGTGATGGAACAAAACCTTGACGATGTGTTAGCAAGCGGTAACAATGGCATAGCGTATGCAGAGCGAGTTGCGGTCTTAGGCAGAAAATTTGGGTTCCTGACGGATCACGCGTGTACTTCAAAGATAAACGGCTGAATGATTCTGGCGCCAGTTGTTATATAACTATATATATGCCGGTGGATGACTGGCGATGGGCTCCCGCTTCAGTCGACCTTATTTCCTCGGTTTTAAGTGAGTTCTGGCGGCTGGTGCGCAGCACCACACTTACTTTAGCACAAGCCATCTGTTGTTCTTCCGCTGCTGAATTCCAAGTATAGTTCAGATGCCAGCCGTTCACTGCACCGCACTGAATGCTATAACTATCATAAGAAACCTTCCGGCTTCTCTCAGCCTTTCGGACCGCAGTGAAATCTTCATATGCATGAATCCTACCTCATTCTCACAAGCCCCTGCATGTTGTATTCCTGTCCCATCGATTTTTACAACAAATTCTCTACGTTATCACTTGACAAAATGTTGTGACTCAGGTCTCCTTACAAATCGCATGCCATCAGAGGGATAGTTCCATCTTGTGTGCAGTGAGTCCTCTACCTGTGCATTAAACATTCCAAGCGGCAATTTCTCACTAGCTCACAAAGTCTGATCGTCAATTCTTTTTCAATCTTCTGACTGCGGATTCTACTCTTCTATTCTCTCACAACTGACAAGTCATTTATTCTGAAATTGGTCCGTTTCCCCATGCGTGAATCCCAGCTTTTTTTACCTGCAGCCAGCCGCACCAAATGTAACCACTCGTTGATCTACCTCAATTTCTCTAAACGTGCAGTTTTAAAACACCGCCACCACCTCAGTCTTTCACTCCCTTACAGTCATTTTGGTGGTTCAAAGTTAGTTGGAATTTGTAATGTACTACTCATAAGGTTGCTGAAAATCCCCCGACAGCCCACGACCGGTTTCGCCCGTTTTGGGGCTCATCAGGTAGGCGCAGTACGCGGGTTTCCGCCAACCTTATGTTCTACTTGAAACCAAATTGCACGAAATTAGCGAGTACACACTCATTTGCAAACTAATTTGGTTTTTCGAGAGACTCACCTGGAACCCAACTGAATCTCTCGTTTGTGATGCTTCTAGGCAACTAAATGTGCTGCCCCAGGCCGCCTCATGTTTTAGTCGCTACGATATTCGAGATATCGTCTTAGATATTGCCTGAGAACATCACAAACGAGAGATTCAGCTGGGTTCCAGGTGTGTCTCTCGAAAAACCAAATTAGTTTGCAAATGAGTGTATACTCGCTTAGTTTGAAGTTCATGTGTTTATCGGCCTCCGTAACTTTTTAAAACCCTGGATATTTCTGCTTTCATTTTTGCACGGGGACGACAACACCAGTGGGTTCTTCCTGGCCCATGATCCAGGAAGCTGCTAAGACACACCTTCTGATCATATTTCAGGCTTCTTCATTTTCTAAGTACATGTGGATCTCAGTTTATGCGGAACATCTTGATTTCGGTTTCTCTTGTTTATACTGTCATTTCTTACTCACTGGTTACGTCGGAGTGCCGGACGAAAAGAGTAATTGGTTACGGATCAGCTGATATTAATCTGTTCAACGAGGATGGTCCACAGTTTGGCGAACAGATTAGCTCGCACTACTTAATACATCCAACTACCAATGTTATAGCGGATGCTACTGATGAGGCACGTGAGTAGTATATGGTTTTCTCGTCACTCCGCACCGAGCCTAATGGAAATTGGGGTTTATTACAGAACCTGCGGGACTATTATTCAGTGTTCGTTTACAATCACGTGATAGCTAATTAATATCTACGAAAGTGGATGGAAATAAGGTGTATAAGGTGTACAATAGTTTGTAAATGTTTAGTTGGTGCTTGCTGGTTGAGAACTTCGCGGCCGATGGCTCTCCTCCCCACACCAATATCTCGATATACTGTCAAGATGCAGTTGTTTCGTGTTATTCATATGAAGGACTAAGACCGCTCTAACGTAAATAGCCAACATACTGAGTATTACTCTTCGGTATCGACTAGAAGTCACTATTTGTACCCCATGTGGGAAATTATTTTAACTTGTCGGATCGTCAACTGTTGATTTGAAAACAAAACTTGTGGAAGTTTGATGACATCTCTGGGGTGTGGAGTAGTTGCGATTTTCGGAATGTTCTTCGACATTTTCTCTCCACATTCTCGTCTCTTGACCTAAACGCGGAGAGGGGTTGTGGATTTGAGAACAACTGCAAACCGCCTCATTAGCATATGTGACAAATTACGAACAAATTCGTGCACAAAGGAAACATTGACGAAGAATCAGGTAGCCAGCTTCACGACAAAGTGGTGTTCTTACCGTAGATTGGTTTCCTGCCAACGTCGGCAGACACACTGAAAAATATATCACCCAGTGCTTCGGAGGGTAGTTTCGTCGGAACCTTCAGGCGATACTCTCTGTGTGATGAGACAACGTTCTCCACCTGATTGACTGAGAGTAAAAAGTATTCGAATGGGATCGAGGGTAACAAGTGCTAACAAGTGCCTTTCAGTCTAACAAGGTATCCAAACTGTAGCCCCCAGGTCATAAAACAAGTCTTGTTACGGTGTTCTTTGATTTGGAAACAAAATTTCACCAAAACGAAAAAGGTCGGCTTTCCAGTTTTTGAAAAAGGTTCATTTGTGACATCATTCGAGGTGACGAACAAGCTGAAAATTCGAATGAATCATCGATGCTTGCTTAAATCGGTTTAGGGGCATCATTACCTAGGATTCATGTGTTCCCATTGAACGTCGTTTGTGTGGCTACAAACCAATATTTTTCACTTCAAAATGTTTGACATAATCGGCAAACTCACTGAAAATTTCGCGAAAGCATGTGTGGTTTATTCGTGTAACCAGAAATATTGCGAAATATCGTAT